TCCGCTGCCTGGATCCTCCGTCTTTAACTTGATGCTGTCTCTTATACACATCTAGATGTGTATAAGAGACAGGTTATAAGGTACGCACCTTGTATTCGAATACAAGGTACATACCTTGTATTCGAGGGTTCGTTCTATTCGAAAGTTTAAACCACCAGTACTTCCTAAAGTCGTGCCCAGGTACTTAGAACCCGTTTTTCGAAATTAACTTGAATACAAGCTACGTACCTTGTTTTTGGGCGCCAAGCTTGAGTTACATGAGGCCCATGGGAACTGAACCCAGGACCTCCTGAATGCCACTTGAGTGCCTTACGAACTGAGCTAGGCCGCCTGATCTCACATATTTTCTAACTGGCATTCTGTCGAATTATGAAATGCAGTGTTGATATTTGAATCTTGTCTTGAGGAAAAAAAAGAAAAAAGGCTTCCTGTCGATCCGTCGTCAGGGCGTCGACTCAGGGCTGGAGTTGAATGGGTTGCCTTTTCCTGGTACTGATGCCGACCCACCTCGTTGTCGTCGTTGTGAATTTGGCGCGTCAAACCGATCTTGCTGCTTTGCTGAGGAAGGCGGACGGATTTGGATCGTCTAAGAGGTAAGAGTGGCGTATTCGCGAGGTTTTGAGTGCGGTTGCGGTCGGTGTACTCCACCGCTGCCCCGGCCAGCCGCTGCATTGCGAGGAAGACTGTACTGTACGTGGCAGCAGGGCGTGCTGTGGCGGCGGCGGGACGGCGTCTTCGTCGTCTTCGTTGGCGGCGGCGGCTTCGGTGACTAGCGGGCGGGAGCGCGGAGAGCAAGATGGCGGAGCGATTGACCCGTATTGCTATTCTGAACTCGGATCGCTGCAAGCCGAAGAAGTGCCGCCAAGAATGCAAGAAGTACTGCCCCGTCGTTAAGACAGGTGAGTGGAAATTATCACTGATTTCTGACCTGCGGACGGTAATGGCGTTGATGATGATTATGATGGTGTTGTTGGTGATGATGGTGGTGTTGATGATGGTGGTGATGGTGGTGGTAGTGA